GTAGAGGAAGGGGAGGGGAAAGGAAAAAGGGGAAAAGAAGAAACGTGAAAAAAGGAAAAAATGGAAACAAAGTCTTTGTAAATAAGGAAGGGTGAAGGGGGTGAAAGGAGGGCAGGGGCATGGGGAAAAAATAAGTACCAAGATATATCATGTAAAGGTACAAGATACCAATGATAAATGTAACTGTACTGTTTGCTTTAAATGTACCAATAAATTTAATGGGGAAAAAAACAGTACTAGTAAACCTGTGGGTGTGGTGGTGAATTCCTGTAATCCTAGCACTTGGGAGGCTGATGGCAGGAGAATTCTTTGTTTGAAGCCAGCCTTGGGCTACATAGTGAGTTCAAGGCCAGCCTGAACTATATAGCAAGACACTATCTACACACACACACAAAAAAAAAAAAAAAAGAAGAAGAAGAAGAAGAAGAAATCTAGCAAATGTATATATAAGTGAGAACATAACATATTTGGTAATATTTTATTTCTTATTCTGGGCTATATGTGTAGAAATTCACTTATATGCCTAGGGTTCAAACTACTTAGGAGGCTGATGCAGGAGGATTACTTGAGCCCAGGACTTCAAGGACAACCTGGTTTAAAAATTCACCTATTATTCTTTAAATGGTGTGTGTATCCTTCTGTATGTATGCCATATTTCCTAATAAAAGCTTTTTTAAAAAAATCAAACTCTAATACTTTATTACATTGAGCCACATTTTTGTTCATCTTCCTGCCATACAGAAGTCAATCTAGAGTTAGAGAGAAAGAGTATAATACAGTGGCAGAAATTGAGACAAGAACAAAGGGATAATATAAACGTGCCCTTTTGTGCTGAAACGAGTTGTGGCTGAAGTCAGCACTGCCTTTTTACGGTTTGAATGGGGTTCCTACCACGAGCTATCATGAAGCCTGAATAAAATCCTTTAAAAAGATGGAAATCCTGTCATTTGTGACAACATGGATGACGACATGAAAGACATTATACTAAGTGAAACAAGCCGGGCAGAGAAAAGCACATTCCTCCTGATCTCACTCATGTGCAGTGGCTAAAGATGCTGCACTCACATAAGCAGAGAGCAGTGGTTGCCAGGGGCGCAGTGGTAGGGGAGATCAAAGGATGCGGGTCTGAGGGGAAAAACTCTGTTAGAAAGGAGGGATCAGTTCAAGAAATCTATTGTACCACATGTACAAAATTAGCAATGTATTGAAAACTGCGGAAAGTGGATTTTAAATGTCCTGACCATAAAAAATGACAGGTGGGTTAAACAACACATGTTAATTAGCGCTGCTCAGCCCTCTCCCAGTGTACACATTTCAAAACATCATATGGTACATGGCAAATGTGTACAACTTGTGTTTATCAATCTAAAATGATTTCTAAAAGATCCCTGAGTAATATTTTGTGTCACTTGTACATTGTTTATCCCTCCCACTACAGCATAAACTCCGTAACAGCAGGTACTATTCTTTCACTTCTTCACCACCAAATTTGCAGATGTCTAGAATAGCGCCCAGCATATAAATGCTTATCACATGTTTGCTGAATAAATAATAAAAAATGAGCTAGAATCATACTCGCGACACAGTCACCATTGTCTGTTTGTGTACCCACTATTAAATATGACAACACAACACCATGGCACCAAGCAAAGTGCCTACTGTACAGTGGGTGCCAAATTAATTTTTAAAATACATTTTAAAAAATTGTATTCCATCCTGCCCATGAGCCCCTCTTATTCCATTTTTTCCTTCTACTTTCACTTTTTTGCTCATTCCTTCCTTCCTCTCTCACCCACTCCTTTGTTCTCCTTCCCACTTGAACACTTTCTTCCCATTTTCCAGCATCCCCTATCTATTGCAGTCCTTATTTACAGTTTTGGTTTCTCATACCAGAGAAACAATGTGATACTTAAGCAAGTGTTAAGCATTTATTTCACTTAAGCATATGGTCTCAAAGTCTGTCCATTTAGCTATAAATGGCTGAAGCTCATCTTTCTTTATGGCAGAGTAGTACTCCATTGCATACAAAAACCACATCTTCTTTATCCACTCGTCAGTTGATCAGCATTTGGGCTGTTTCCCAGATTTTGCTACTACAAACTGTGCTGCTATAAACATGGTATTCATCTATCACTGTGGTATGATGCTTTTAATTCTTTTTTTTTTCTTTGTTTGAGACAGGGTCTCACTATGTAGTTGAGACTGACCTAGAACTCACTATGTAGCCCAGGCTGGTCTTGAACTCTCAGCGATCCTCCTGCCTCAGCCTCCCAAGTGTTGGGATTACAGGTGTGCACCACCATGCCCGGCTGATGATTTTAATTCTTTTGGGAAGATACCAAGAAGGGATACAGCTGGGTCATATAGAACCTCTAGGCTGGGGATTTAGCTCAGTGCTTTGGTGGCCTGCCTTACAAGTGCAAGGACCCAAGTTCAGTCCCCAGTACCAAAAAAAAAAAAAAAAAAAAAATAGAACCTCTAGTTTCAGTTTTTTGAGGAATCTCCAAACTGATATCCACAGTAGTTGCACCAGTCTGCACTCCCACCAACAGTGGAGAAGGGTTCCTTTTTCCCCACAGCCTCTTCACATTTATTATTGATTGATTTCTTGATAGCAGCCATTCTTTCTGAGTGAGGCAGAATCTCAACATTGTTTTAATTCGCATTTCATAAATGGCCAGTGATGTTGAATACTTTTTCATATTTTTTTGCCATTTATAATTCTTCATCTGAGAAGAGTCTTTTTATTTCAGATGCCCATTTTTGCATGGGGAGGTCTGATATTTTTTAGTTCTATATATATATTCTAGATAATAGTCCTTTGTTGGAATAGCCGGTAAAAAATTTTTCTCACTCTGTGGGTTGTCTCTTCACTCTGTTGTTGGTTTCTCTTCCTGTGCAAAAGCTTTGTAATAAGATGAGGTCCCAGTTACTGAAATAAAAGGTACTAACTATACACAGGATCCTAATGAGATAATTAATAATGTGAAATAGGAAGTAAAGGGCTAAAGGTGTAGGGAAAGTGGGAAGGGTGGGGGAAAGGTAATAAGGGAGAGGAAAAAAATATGAGAAACTGAAAAAATGGAAATAAAGTGTTTGTAAATGGGGAGGGCAGGAGGGGGTGAAGGGAGGGCAGGGACAAGGGGAAAAAATGAGAATCAAGACCTATTATGTAAAGGTACAGAATCCCAATGATGAATGTAATTGTATTGTATACCTAGATTGTACCAATAAACTCAATAAAAAGAAAAAAAGGTACTAACTAAATGTTTATGAAACAAATGAACAAACACTGAGTTAACTTGAATTCAATCATCAAGATAGTGAAATTCTGACATCCTATCAGTTTGCTATGCATGTTAATGTCTTTGTTTTCCTTAGCTACAGCATAGTATTAAACTTCTACCAGTCTCTGCCTTGTTTCACTTCATCCATATAATACTGTTTTGACATGTATCATATAGCACAAAGTTAATTATGGTCTTCCTTTCTCACATGAATTTCCTGGTCTGTATCTTACTCTCCCCAATGGTGGGACTCAGAATAAAATAAAAGACTGGTCTTTGTCAAACTGAATTGATTTCAATTATTTGTTTTGGTTAGGTAGTCTGGTTATCTGAGTATTGTATCTGTTATCTCCAAATCTTTTTCCTCTGACAGACCCAATAATTTTGCTTTCAGTTTTCCATATTATTATCTTTGTCCCAATATGGAAAATACAGGTTTATGACTAGAGATATGTAAAAGTGAGTGTAGATAGACTATATTTTCATTTATTTTTTCACGTTTCCTAGGTAGTATAAACTCTAACTAGTTTGGATAATTTAAACTTGACTCCATATTATTGTTCCTCAAATTAAAAACACAACAGTGGCTATCTAACCCTTTAAATTTAAAGACTGATTCTAATGACATAGTATAAAATATACACTCTACCTGTAATTGGAACCTTCCAGTATGAAAATTTTGAGAAATGAAAACACTCTGAGAATGGGGTTTAACCTTCATCTTTGATGGTCTTTGCCCGAGTCTCTCATCAGTTGATTTAAATGTAGAATTTTGAAATATTTTTCTGAAAAATATTTTATAAAGAATATTATAAACATGAATTAGATTAAAAGCCAAGTAATCATTTTTCTAATATTTAAACATAAGGATTTAAAAGTCAGAATAATACATTATAGCATGTTTATTTTTAAAAGCATAAATTAATTTGTATACTTTCTCATATATTAGATTTCATTACATCTATTTTATTCATGGAATGTAATTTCCAGTTTGAATATTAACCAGGAGTCATTGATATACTTCCCTGAGGTTGTGGGACAATCGACTGGCTTTAATGTTAAGTGGCCCTTGCATAATATTAACTTTAATAGCAAAGACAATAAAATGAAAGCCATTGATCCCATTTGGTGTATAATAATGTCTCTGGGAAAAAGCAAGAGAAGGAGACTGAAATGAATCTAATAACCTCTAATGGAAAAGGACCTGAGATCTTTACCCTCCATGCAACCACAAAGAAAGAGTTAAAGATAGCGACTCAGGGAAGGGCCAGGAATTTAGCTCAATGGTTCCAGCGCCTTCCTCACAAAGGCAAGGGCCTGAGTTCGATCCTTGGTATCAGAAAGAAAATGAGAAAGAAAGAAAGAAAAAAAAGATAGTGACTCAGGAAGCACATAGCTGATGCTGATGATAGGCAAATAATTAAGTATAAGGGAACGTGGCCTCAGACAAAGCATCATTACAGATTTAATATTTCCAGACAATGTAATATTATTCAGTGCTAAAGAGAAATGAACTATCAGACCATAGAAAGATATGGAAAAAAATTAAATGCATATTATTAAATGAAAGAGGCAAATCTGAAAAAGGCTACGTATTGTATGTTTTTATTTAGATGACATTCTAGAGAAGGAAAAACTATAGACAATGAAAAGAACAGTGGTTGCCAGTGGTTGGGGGAGGGAGGGATGAACAGATGAAGCCCAGAGGATTTTTAGGGCAACGAAAACACACTGTGATGCTATCATGGGAATCCATTTGTGCAACCACAGAATGTACACCATCAGCACTGAGCCTTTTTTCTGTGGTACTGGGGATTGCCCTGGGATATATCTCCAGCGCTTTTAATTAATTAATTTATTTATTTATTTTTGAGACAGGGTTATTTGCCATGTCTTCTTTCAGAAGCACTAGAAACTTTCCAAATTAATCCAAGAGATTATGTTACTTACTGAGATATTAAAAATTAGGATTCACTTATTTACTGAATTTAATTCACTTAATGTGTTTACTGAGAACTTATTATATGCCAGAAATGACGGATATTGTCTAAATAGTGGTGGGGAAAAAAAGCACTAGTGGTAGGAAATATCAAAACATCATCCTCACAGAATTATTACTGTTCTCATGGAGATTTAAAAGTAGTATGAAAGACATATTGATAAAATAATCAATCAGGGCATGGTGGTACATGGCTGTAATCTCAGCACTTGGAAGGCCGAGGCAGGAGGATTGCCATGAATTCAAAGCCAGCCTGGGCTCCATCATGAGTTCAAGGCCAGCCTGAATTACATAGCAAGACCTCAAAAAACAAACAAATAAAAATCACAAGAAAATAAAAAATTGTAACTTTGTAAAGTTCTAGTGCTGTGGGAATATGTATCAAAGGAAATGAACCTGGTAAGAAAGGTCAGGAAAAGCAACAAGTAAATATTTGAAAAAATGTTCCACATCACTGGTCATTCGAGAGATGCAGATGAAAACAACACTGAGATTCCACCTCAACCCACAAAGAATGGCTGCTATCAAGAAATCACACAATAACAAATGTTGGTGGGGTTGTGGGGAGAAAGGAACCCTTCTCCATTGTTGGTGGGAGTGCAGACTGGTGCAACCACTATGGAAATCAATATGGAGAT